GCCCCCACCTCACCTGGAGAGACTGCTAGCATCTCAAGAGCTCTTTGTGTTACCTTTTATAAACTTAACATACCACACAAATAGGAAAGAGTACTTCAAATAACATGGTTTCACATCATGAATTCAATAAGCAATTGGTTAATTTACAAATAATTATGAAATATATTTTTCCTGAAACAAAAATCAAAAAAGAATATACTATGGTGGGCAATAATGCATAAGATTTGAAAAATATATTGTCCTTCAATTTCCATGCATGCATAAATTTGTCTTAATGAACCCAAAAACTATGTATAACCATTAATATTTAAATAAATAAAAAAATATTTAAAGAATATATATTATCCTGAAAATACACGACATAGAAGCCCGTGATTACCACAATTTAGAAAACAGTAGGCTAAATCCTTCTAACCTCCAGATTCAATACAATGAGGACATTCACACTAACTAGTCCCAATGTATTTCTTGGAAAGTTGCAACACAGAGGAAATAAAAAAAGAAGAGTTTTAAAATAAAGAGTGCTGAACCTAATACTACCCCAATGCCTGACCAGAAAGAACCTCCAGGTTTAAATAGCTCAGAGTTAGACTGAGGTGAGTGTTCAGGCTTTGATCTTGATTCACAGCAACTCCAGATCTATGTTGACTCCAAACAAAACAAGGGAAGCAATGATAAAGGCCCTAGCTGTGATGATACATCATTTAAGAGGCTGCCAGGAGTTCTGACGCAGGACTTCAGATTCAATGATGGCCTGTAACAAGTTCCTGCTTCAAGGAGTCATGAGTAGTGGGTAGGCTTCATCGACCAGCACTGGAAGAATCTAAGGGGCCCTGAGCTAATTTCTCTGTGAGCCTGTCTTCTTATCCATAATACTGAGAAGTAGAAATCGCTGTTACTATTTCTCAATCCCATTAACATAGAGTTCACTGATTTTATTCATTTATTTTGTAAAAGTGTATCCTCAACATTTACAGCCCAAAGACGTGAGGTCCTCTAAAGGGACCTCTGGTCAACTGTAGAAGTCAGAACCTTAACTGAAACAGGAAAGACCTTCTAGAACCAAAACCAAGAAAAGACTAACAGGGCCTCTCTCAAAGACAGAGTGATAAATGGGTAAATAAAACTAGAGGGCTCTAGGATCTGTAAAAACCATTGCATTAATACCACAGATTGCTGTTCTTTAACCTAAAGTCAACAAAAATTGGAAGATCCATGTCTACTACTGGACATTACCACAGATATCAAGATTGGTATACCAGGTTGTAAAGAAAAACTCTCAAAAGTTATGTGAAAAGAAAAGGCTACCACTAAAAAAACACAGGAGATTTTTTTTTTTCTTGTAAGTGTGGCATTTGAGTGGACTGAGTAGTACAGGTAGAACTTTGACCAGCTGGAGTTGTACATCCAAAGCACATTACAGGAAGAACACAAGTAATGGCACCAAAAATAAAAGCCAGAATTACAGTTTAGTGTGCTGGTTCACATGGATGCTACTACTAAAATGTGGGATCAAATCACAACATCCTACATTATTTGAACTTGGACATCAGCTGCATGAACAATCTTAAGAGACAGAGACACTCCATCAAAACATTGTTTTACTATTGTAGCTTAAAGAGCAAAAGCTGTCTTTTGTCTAAATTTAAATATCTTCCAACATTTAATAAATAAGATTAATTTCTTTAATAGTATTCTAGTTTGGCTAATAAAAAAAGATAATCTTCATTAAGAAGACTGGTCAAAAAATCACCCAGAAAGCAAATTAATCTGTCAGTCTGTTTTATTTCATATATTCTAATCATAATTATTAAAATAAGCAAAGTTTAGAAATAAATAATAGTTATTTTTAAATTTTCTTATTTTGCAAGCTAATTTCTACTTTTTAAAAATATATTTCTAAAAAAGAGAAATTACACCACTGAGCTGACCCAAGGACTTCCTTAATTATAAGAACAAACTCTAGTTGCCACCAGAAACTATGAGCCACCAAACTCTAAGCATTATTCCCACACTTCTAAGCATAAGGTTAAAGCTGGGAAAATAGTAACAAATTTTAAATTCTCTTTCAAAAATTTCTGAAATTATAACTTTAAAAAGTCATTTTTAAATCATGCTCTTCTAACAAAAACCAAGGATTCATCCAGAGAGTTTACACCTACTCATTACTCAGAAAAGGGAAGAAAAACAAAGCGAAGGGTTATTTTAGCCCAAGAAAAAGCACTGTCTCATCTTTTTTAAAAAATTACCTTTTAAGAGTTTATAGGCAGTACATTCCTAGATGTTAAAATATTATATTTTAATATTTATATATATAGAAATATTGTGGAATATTCAAGAAGGAAGAGAAGAAAAAAATTGGGCTGAAAATCAGCAGGGTTATAACTGCCATCAGTTTGTACACTATGTTTTGTTCTGGAAATCAATGAACTTCTCTGGGCCTTCACAGCTCCACCTTTAAACTAAAGGTCAAATCACACAATCTCTAAAATGCCACAACATGAAACAAAGTTTAAATAACAGAGATATGCAGTTGCTATTACATATTCAAAGAAGCAAGGGGTGAAGCAGAAGGAAGTTAATATTTCAGAATAAGGCTAATGAGCTCCATGGTAACCAGCTGAGTGGCCTTAAGAGTAACTTTCCTGTACTCTTGAAAAGGTCTAATATTTACCTTTGTAAGATGGTGGAAGGATCAGAATGTATGCAATGTACTTGGCACACTGTATGCATTAAATACAAGCAGACAGAGCATCCCTGGTCAGTAATATCTACTTAACCAATTAGTGCAGTTTCCTAGAGCTTGGCTGGGATAGAGCAGACTGACAGTGCTTTCCTAATAGAAAGAAGGTAAAGATAATAAGGAAGAAGATTCATGGTTAGGAGATAAAAGTAGCCCTTGAAGATAAACAAAGGCTTTGAGTCCTATACATAATAACAATGAAAAAACAACTACATGGACATTCTTTTCATTAAAAAAACCCCTGGAAGAAGGAAGAAATATATGCATAAATATACGTATGTATGTGTGTGTGTATGACACACACATATATGTCTATACATACACACATATAATAAACAATAATTCATAGTATATTATGCAATATAAAATATATATTACATATATAATATAACAACTTCATAACCAAAAGGCAGAAAGTTGGTCAGAACTTATGAATGCCTCTAAACAAGAACAAGGACTCTGAGATAGATATATAGATATAGATAGATATAGATAGATAGATATACACATCATCTTTCCTTAACATGTCTGCAACTCTCACAGCAGATACAGATGATACAGCTCCTGCCCACCTCTCCAGTATCCCCTCCTATCACTGTCCCCCCACATCACTCTCCCGTAAGTTTATTCTGCTCTAGCCATACTAGCTTCCCTTCATCCTCAGAACATGCCAAACCCACTCTTTCTTTAGTTTTGTTTTTTTTGCTTTTGTTTTTGTTTTTGCACTATTAGAGAAACTTCCAGATCTTCTCATGGCTGACTCACTCTAAACATTCAGTTACCACCTCAACCATCACCTCCTCAGGAAAATCTTCCCCACAGGTAAATTTGCCCACACCCCCCAGTACACCAGAGTTCCTTCCCCTGTAATATATTCTCTAACATTTATTACTACCTAAAGTCATTTTTTGGTTTGCATGTACATTGTATCTCCATCAAAAGATAAGATCTTTGAGGTGAGGGACCTCATCTAAACTGTTCATTACTCAATCCCAAATACCTGAAACAATGGGTAGCCCAGACAGATATTCATCAGATGAAACTGTCCAATGAATAAATTCAAAATTACACCAATCACTTTTCCTTCTATGAAAATAAGTAGTCATCAGAAGCCATAAAGTTCATTTCTTTAATGCAGTTTTCTATAATGCAGTAATGCAACTTTAAAAGGTCCATGTTAGAGATGGTAAGATCTTAAAGAGAATAAATGCTTCCTGACAATACAAAATATTATATATTATATTATACAGTTTGTATATATTATATTCTATATATTATACATTACATATTTTCATTTCATGTACAATTACCCACTACTTTATTATCAGAATCCATAAATAAAGCACAGATATGGTAAGTTGTTTTGTTTCATCAAATCTTGCTTCAAGATAGAGAGATGGGCAGATGGACTATAGATGGTAACTACCTTTCAGAAACCTTCCACACAAAGAAATCTGATATAACACACTGAACTAACTCTAGTGTATTTAGAAATTAGACCTGTTACTTTGCAACCTCACTGAACGTATCCAAACTATTTATGAGTCAAGAGATTTATTCAAGTAATTTCATCTGTGAAATAGAAGATAAATGAATAATGAACAACTGCTATATTAAGAGAATGATAAGAAAAATGCCACAGTGTTAACCCATGTTTGAAATAATAGGAAAAAAAAAATCCCTTCCTAACTCTAAACCAAAAGAAAGCATGCTAGTTATATTTAAAAAAAAAAAATTGCAAAATGAGTGAGCAAAGCAGTGAACTGAAACCATCTTCAGAACAATCATGACTCAGACTTCAATCTTTATTTTGTTTTGTTTTGAACATGGCCTTTCTTGATGAATAAAAGAGGCCCATAAACGACTGTGTCTGGACAACTCACGCTTCATCCCCTTGTCACCATCCTCGGTCATTCTTCAGGGCCCATGGCCCAATATGGGGATGGACCCCACAAGGGCCTCGCTAGGGCCCGCGAGGTGAATAAATGGAGACCTCACTACCTGAATCCGTCCCTAAATCCCTGTCCTGGGAGCAGTGGGTCTTGGAAATCTGCAACTTCACTTTTGTATCCATTATATACACATGCCTTGCCCCTCCTCCTTCCCGGGTGGATCTCGCAAGGGCTCCGTAAACAGAAGGGAACTACAGGGTTATGGCCTCCGTCTGCTGGACTCTCCAGGAACCCAGTTAGCTGGCCTGACCTCGGGGACTCAGTTTTCGAACCTGTCAAACAGGGTGACGCGAAACCCAGCCTACCTCATCGGGTGGTTCCGGGCCGCCCCAGACTGGCCCGGAGACAGTGGCTAAGTGGTCGCGCCCTCCAGGGATCTCCGGGGCGGCGGGGTGGGGCTCGGTGGGGCGGGACCAGGCACCCAGCCCAGCAAGCGAAGGGCAGCCCACCGCCCGCAGCCAGCAGCCCTAGGAGCTCCTCGAGTACCCGGCCGTGACGTCAACACGCTGACGTTCACGCACAGAAGCCGCATCTCGCTCCAGGGTCCAAAGACTTTGAGTGCTTGGCAAGCTCTAGAGAAACTACTCGATTGGACAGAAAATATGTCAGTCATCTACTGACCAATAAGCGACGGGGGAAGACCGGAGACTGGGAGCTGGACTGCCCTGAGGAACGGGTGGGAATCTGGGACTCTGACTTTGAAGATCTTGAGCTGGTTGGGCTTTCCCGCAATTTGTACTACATGGTTTTAATTAGTGTTTGCTTTTTCTTTTTTTTACGATTATGCCTTTGCCACTTTTTTTCACTTACTTGGTAGGGATATAGCCCCTGGGCTAGTGGAAAACAATCACAGGGAGGATTTCAGATCCTCTGGGCACCTCCCATTGATTTCTTCTGTACTGAAATAGGGCGTCCCACTTCTATGCCAGTACTGTGTTCGATCCACTTAGAATTCTCAAGTCCTCCAGACCTATTTAGGAGACATTTTCTCTGTGAGTCCATTGTGTAACTAACATCTCTTACTTATAGTTATATCTCATTATATGTGTATGGTTTTTTTTTTTTTCCACGAGATTGGGCATCACTTATTGTTTTATTTAGACTAACTTTGCTTTTTCCCCAATAGATGCTACAGTTACATCATTAAAAGTTTTACAGTTACAATGGGTAGACAGTGAATATTCTTCACATCTCAGTTCCTCGGGTTTTCAGTTGCCACTGGAGTCAACCGGTATTGCTGATTTTTTGGATATTCTTCCAAAGTCATTCTGAGTGCTATTGTTGATTTTGAATTACACAAGTGAAATAATATCAGTTCATTTTTTTTTTACCGTTACGAATTACTGAATAACCTTTTCAGGCACTAATTATAAACCCATTCCTTAGATGATGACTCCTAGAAGTTTTTGTTTTCTGTACTCAACATTGAGATCTTCCCATGTTTATATATATATATCTACCTGACTTTTAAAAAATGCTCTAGGGCTGGGGTTATGGCTTGGTAGTAAAGCACTTGCCTAGCATGTAAAAGGTCCTGGATTCAAGCCCAACCACTGCAAAAATTTATGAATGAATGAATGAGTGAATGAATGAATGAATTGCTGTATGTTACTTCTCAGGACCAATATATGTACAATTCAATTTACATTTCCCCACCCTCAGACATATAGTTTGCTTCATTTTATTATTATTACTAAAATAATAATTCATTAAATATGTGTAGGTATCTTTCTGTAATGTCTTGTACTTATGTACAAGTATTTTCTAGGATACAGAAACCAATAAGTGAATATACTGCATCAGAGAATATGCACATTTTGAATCCTAGTAATAGAGTTCCTCAATTTGCCCCAATTTGTTAGATTTGCTCCCCTAAGTAATTTTTATAACTTATATACTTCTTTCCTGCATCCTTAGGAAAACTGATAAAAATGCAATTATATTGTTGTTATAAATAGGTATGAAAATTGTTTTAAGGATAACATATGAAAAAGAAAAACAATAATCTTAAGTATATAGCTTGGTGACAAAAGGAACCAACATGTGTAACCACCTCCCATTTCAAGATTTTAAATGTGTATTAGCAATGTAGAAGTTTTTTCATGCTCAGTCTTACTCAACTGTACACACAAATAGCCACTCTTCTGAATACTACCACCAAAATTAGTTTTGTCTTTTTTTCAAACGTTTATAGACACAAATAGTATGTACTCTTGTAGCTCTTCTTTCTTAGTATTATATTTGTAAGGTTGATCTATATTAAAGATTGTAGGAGTACTTCAATCATTTTCATTTTTTGAATGTAATTCCAAAATTTATTTTTCTGTTCTACTATTGCTTGACACTAGGTTATTTAAATTTTGAGGTAATTGTAGCTTCAAATGATACTGCTACAAATATTCTTGTACCTGACTTTTGATGCACATAATACTAATTTAATTTTGGTATATTCTAGGAGTAGTATTACTATGCACAGCATATGTGTATGTATTCAGCAGTAAAAGACACTGCCACATATTTTTTTGATTGCACAAATTTACAGGCCCAGTAGCAATGAATGAAAATCCAGTTGATCCATTTTTTTATTTTCAGAATTATCACATTATAAAATCAAATGTCCAATATTCAACAAAAAAGGATTACAAAACAAATAAAGGAAAAATAAAGTATGGCCCATTCATAGGAAAAAAAGAAATCAACAGAAACCATCCCCAGGAAAGCTCAGACATTGGTCTTATTAGTCAGAGACTTAAATCAATTGTGTTTAGTTTTTTCAAAGACCTCATGGAAGCTATGAATAGAAAAACTGAAATAAACAAGGAGAATGTTGTGAACAGACAATATCAATAGAGATACAAATTATAAATGAAACCAAATAGAAAATCTCGAGCTTAAAAGTACAGTACCTAAAGTGAAAAATTCACTAGAAAGTTCAATAGAGGAGTTTAGCATATCAAAGAAAGAATCCAGGGACTTAAAAATAGAAAAATGGAAATTATTCAGTCATAGCAGGAAAAAAACACAGCAATAAATGAAAAATGAACAAAATCTAAGGAAACTATGGAGCATCAACAACAAAATATTAGAAATACTAGTCATAGCAGTTAGGCAAAGCAAATAAATTGCATACAAATTAGAAAGAAAGAAGTAAAATTCTCTATTCACAAAGAGCATGATCATGTATAAAGTCCCAAAGAATTGAAAAAAAAAAAAGACAACTGAATTTAGCAAAGTTGCATGTAGTAACACATAGAACTCATGTGCTTCTGAATCTGAGAAGGAAATTAAGAACACAGTATCATTTACAAAAACACCCCCCCAAAAAAAGAAAATACCCAGGAATAAATTCAATAAGTAGAAAGATATTATACTGAAAACCACAAATTATACTGAAATAAATGTAAATTCTACATAAGTAAGATTATTTCACATATCCATGAGTTGGAGACATGTTTTTAAGCTGGCAATAATTCTCAAAACCGTTGATAATTTAAAATTTTTTGCTGTACTCTGATATCCTATGTAGCAAACTGAAATCTGAAAATCTGATATCCTATGTAGCAAACTGAAATGGAGGGCTAGGGTTCAGCTAATTACAGGCAGCCAACAGAGCAAGCCAGTTGAGGCAAACAATTCCAACCAATCAGGATATTTCTGTTCTTCATTTCTTTGTTCTATCTATAAATATTTACTGTCTATATTGCAGAGCTATGGTCTGAATGCTACCCAGAATTGAATCATTCTTTCTCAATAAAACTGTTAAATTCCTAAGAAGTTTTATTTTAATATCATTTATAGATTCAGTGCAATTTCTTACAATGGCATCTTTACAAAAGAGGAATAGCTAGCAGATCTTCAAATTCACTTGGATTTTTAAGAGGACCCACATAGCTAAAACAATCTTGAAAAAAGTAACAAACATGGATAATTCATACTTTTCAATTTTAAAACTTGCAACAAAGCTACAGTAACCAAAGATGCATGGTTGTGGCATAAAGAGACATGCAGATCAATAGAATAGAGTTGACAGCCTAAAAAATAAACCTTCCAAGTATGACCAACTGATTTTTTGACAAGGGTACAAAATGGGCAAAATATAATCTCTTCAACTAATGGTACTGGGACCACTAAACATACGCATGCAAAATAATGAAATGGACCCCTATCTCATTCCATAAGTGAAAATGGGCTCAAAATAAGTAAATGGTCAAAATATAAGAGATAATATTAGAAGAACACATAGGAGTTAATTTTTTTTGGGGGGGGGTGCAGGGAGTGAGGGTTATCAGGGATTGAATTCAGAGGCACTCAACCACTGAGCCACATCTCCAGCCCTATTTTGTATTCCATTTTTAGGCAGGGTTTCACTGAATTGCTTAGCACCTCTCTTTTGCTGAGGCTGGCCTTGAACTTGCAATCCTCCTGCCTTAAGCTCCCAAACTGCTGGAATTACAAGCGTGTACCACCGTGCCCAGTGGAGTTCAACTTTTTCCCTTTTTCAGTACTAGGGATTAAACTCAGAGGTGCTTAACCACTGCCACATCCCCAATCCTTTCTTATATTTTATTTAGAGACAGGGTCTTGCTGAGTTTGCTTAGTGTCTCACTAAGTTGCTGAAGCTGACTTTGAACTCTCTTTCCTAAGCTGCTAGGATTATAGGTGTGTGCCATTGTGCCAGGGCTATTTGTTAATCTTCATTCCTTGGATTTGGCAATGGACTCTCAAATATTAAAACAGATTCATTCACAATGGCAACCACAAAATTAGATAACTTGGATTCATCAAACTTAAAAACTTTTATATATCAATGAACATAACCAAGAAAGTGAAAAAACAACCAATAGAATGGGAGAAAATATTTTACCCTTGAGGATAACCTTGATTGAACAGAAACTACAAGTCTCTGAATATTCTAAACAGATAAATCACTTGGATTCTGAGAGGATCTGCAGTTGGTCATATAAGGAAAGGAGCGGGGAACACATTTTATTCCACCATTTTCCATGCAGTCTTTTTGTTATTTATTAATTTGCAACTAAAATACTTTAAGGAATTTGTCTAGAACAATCCTTTTAATATCTTAGTAATTAAACAAATCACTAGACCACATTACAATAAAGTTTAAAACCTGGGATAGCTAGTTTCAATTTTAAAAGAAAAACACACTAGTCCTAGAGGAGAATGCAATAGTGGATGTCTATTGAGTAGCATGGGTTCTGAGGCAAGTGGAAACATGGTCTGATATGTAGATTTCAATGCTAGTTCATTCTTTTTAGTGAATAGAATGCAGATTTCTATAGAACTTATTGAAAAGGCAGCTTCAGCTGCAGGAAATTATCTATCAGAAGTAGAAAACACAAAATAAAATATGATTTATGAGCCCACAGCTAATGTTAGAACTCCATAAAATTTTGCCAACCCAAATCATCAGTGAATTTGGTCATTTCCATCCTGTTCTCTCCTTACTTGAGGGATTTGGTTGCATTTTGGTGAAGCCATTTAGCTCA